TCTATTATAGTATAAAGGTTAGAGATCACAAGATGTAGAGGTTCAACTATGTCATTTATTGTTCTTAAGTCCTGGAGCAAATTCCATCTACTACTGGGTTGTTTTACAACTTGGAAGTCTTCATGCAAGGCAGAGGTGAAGTAAGGAACTGCTTATGAGGTTCTCCGTCAGTTTCAACAACTAAGAAATAGTGAGAAGACTTAGGACCTCAGAAAGCTTTTAGGACCAGATAGTAGGCTCTTGTGTCCAGGAGAAAGCGAATATACTTACCAGTAATGTTAATGCTCACCCACAGTTCTTCTGGAAGGATCCCTTCCATGGAATTTACTGCCTCTGAGTAACTGCTGGTGGTGGGTCATTTGTGGGTCACTTCTGACTCAAAGGTAATAAACAGACAGGACAACAACAACTTTGTTTTGATGTAGTATGATTGTGATGATTCCCTTGTTACTTGCCTTATTTGTTGTCAGAATTGCTGTCACATAAGGACAATAGAACAATTACTACAGAAAGATTTTGAGGATCCAAGTAGGAAGGGGTGCTGGGCAGAGGGGTGAGGATTGTCAGGATGGAAGGTTGCACAATTTGGTGGGTGGGGCAGGGAATGAAGGAAATGGGAAAAATCCAGTGTGAAAAGCATTGTTTTCGAAGTTTGTAAATTAACCAGTATAAAAGGAAAAAAATTAAAAATAGAAATAACACCAGAATACAAACAACTGCTATCAGCATTGAGGCAGCAGTTAGACTTCCACTACCTCCATAAGCGATTCTAACACACCCTGGCTTCATGTTGCTCTGTTATTTGGCCCATTAATTTGTTGGAGTGGCCACAGAGAATTCAGGCGTACTCATAAGTTATGGCCTTGATTGTGTTGTTATGTGGTATCTAGTCACCTGCAACTCATAACAACCCTATGTACAATAGCTTTGAAGCCTGTCCCCTTCTGAGCCAGTCTCACTGACTCTGACAAACCTACCCTTATTGCCTTAGTTACTCTATCAGTCCATCTCCTTTGGGGTCTTTCTCTTCTGCGCTGTCGCTCCACCCTTGTAAGCATGATGTCCTTCTCCAAGGATCAGACTCTCCTGGCCACATGCCCGAAGTATGTAAGATGGAACTTCTTCCAAGGACAAAATTGTTTTCTCTTTTCCCAGGAATAGATGGTATACCAGTTGATGTATTTCAGCTAACAGATTCTGCCCTGGATGTGCTTACCAAGTTGTGCCATGAAATCTGGAGAACAACCACTTGGCCAACTGACTGAAAAAAATCTGTATTTGTTCCCATTCCAAAGAAGGGTGACTCAACAGAGTGTGGAAACTATAGAGCAATATCATTGACTTCACATGCAAGCAAGATTATGCTGAAGATTATCCAAAAACGACTGGAACAGCACATCAGCAGAGAACTCCAGGCTGGGTTTAGAAGGGGTCGTGGTACTAGGGATATTGTAGCTGATGTTAGATGGATCTTAGCTGAAAGCAGGGAATACCAGAAGAATGTCTTTCTGTGTTTCATTGATTATGCAAAGGCATTTGACTGTATGGATCAAAACAAACTGTGGCTGACTCTGAGAAGAGTGGCAATCCCAGAACACTTGATCGTGCTAATGCGAAACCTATACTTGGACCAAGAGGCAGTTGTCAGAACAGAGCAAAGAAACAAGGCAAGGTTCAGAATTGGGAAAGGTGTATGCCAGGGATGTGTCCTGTCTCCATACCTTTTCAATCTGTGTGCAGAACAGATTATCCGAGAGATTGGGTTCTATGAGGAGAATTGTGTCATCAGGACTGGGGGAATATCTATCAGCAATCTATGTTATGCCGATGACACAACCCTACTTTCTGAAGCTAAGGAGGATCTGAAGTACTTGGCTGCAGAGAGTCAAGGACTGCAGCCTTCAGTATGGATTGAGGCTCAATGTGAAGAAGACAATGATTTTCACTATTGGACCAATTGGCAGCATTAGGATGCATGGTGAAGACATTGAGATTGTTAACAACTTTAGACTCCTTTGCTCCACGGTCAACACTCTCGGCACCAGTAGCCAGGAAATCAAAAAACGTTTTGCGATGGGAAAGTCTGCTATTATTAGGGACCTCTCCGAAGTACTGTAGTCTTCTCTTGTGTGACTCTTGAGACTAAAGTGCGCCTGATACAGGCCATGGTCTTTGCAATCACTTGTTATGCATGAGAGAGTTCAACAGTGACTAGGAAGGATAGAAGAATTGATGCCTTTGAGCTGTGGTGTTGGAGAAGAGTATTGAATATACCATGGACTGCTAAGAAAACAAACAGATTCATCTGGGAGAGGGTTAAACCAGGCTGCTCCTTGGAGGCAAGGATTCTGTAGGTCATCTGACATACGTTGGACATGTTTTAAGGAGGGGCAGGTCCTTGGAGAGGGACAACATGCTTGGGAGGGTGGAGGGACGGAACAAGAGGGGAGGACCCTCTATGAGGTGGATTGATTCAGTGACTGGGGTAATCGGGATGGTGTGTCAGAGACAGTGTAATTGGCACAGGGTTTAGGGCTGTTGTACATAGGGTTGCTGTGAGTCGCATGCGACTTGATAGCACACAACACAACTTTCCAATGCAGACGTATTTGCTTTCTTAGCAGTCCATGGCATGTTCAAGACTCTTCTCCAACACCACAGTTCAAAGGCATCAGTTCTTCTGTCATCCTTCGTTACTGTCCAGCTCTTGGATACATGGCAAGTAATTGTTATGACCTTGGCCTGGAGCAGGTGCACCTTAGTCTCTAGACTGACATCGTTGCCTCTCAGTGTTCTGGAAAGGTCCGTAACAGCAGATTTACCTTATGTGCTTCATCTTTTGATTTCCTGGCTTCACCATCTATTATGGTACTGTCATTTGGCCTAATGGTGAGAATC